GGTTGTATCTTCTTTAAAATCCCAAGTTTAGTACGATATCTCTCTATCTACAAATATAATAATGTCTCGCATTAGAAGAAACGAAATTCCAAATGTTACTTTATCTAGAACTGATTATGACAATTATAGACAAAAATTTTTAAGTTCTTTACAACAAGGTGTCTCCTTTTCTAATCAATTGAATCTTCATGAACAATTAAGGATCATTAAAGACGAAAACTATTTTACAACCAAATTTTTTACGGCTGCGAAAATTTATACTAAAAGTATAAAATCAATTGCTTTTTGTCATTTCTAATATTGTGTAATAAGTATATATCTTTATTAACATTAACAATCCAAAAAGATAATAAACCCTGACCATAGCGCTTGTCAAATTACTATTGAAGTTGATAGTGATTCTTCATTGTTAGATTCTGACTCAGAACTCTACACAACTGACGAACATATTTTACAACAATCCAGTTCATTAAATGATGATGAATAGTTAATTAATAGCAATGATGATGAACAGTTAATTAATAACAAAGTTCTTAAAGTTCAAACACAAGATATCTAAAACCTGTGGCTACCAATTCTTTGCAATCAAAAACATGTTCTAATGACATATAATTAAAGGTTTATCATCCAAATTTTAGACAACTACAAATTAATAATATTTATGATTATATAATACAGTATATTAGAACTTCGGTTAAACAATAAATTTTTTACTAATACTAAGTTATATTACAGGCTTTCTGTTCAGTTCTGGTCTATGTAAAGACTCGAATTCATGTGACAGTTTGGGTATGGTTCCTAATGAAATCTACTCAAAACTGGTCTGTGCAGAACAGTTTAAAACCCGGTTCATATTATACACAAATTCATTTGTATCGATATTGTACAATTTATAAAAAATAATCTCTTAATCAATTGCTGTGACCCGAATTTGATCTTTTTGTTTAAAATAAATTAATATATGTAAGTATAGAGTCTGTGTCTATATATATAGACCATTTTTCTTATACTCAAAAATTTTTAGAGTTATTGGTAAAATGACATTTTATTTTTTACCTTACCGTCACCAAATTTTTAGAAGAGTAAAGAACAAGTTGATAACCAGTTAGATCAAAATTCATATAATTAGTATAATGCAGATCTTACACATTTTTTAAACTTGTTTTAACATTAACACTAATATATACGTAAATATATATAGTATCAAAATTATATTTTAAAATTTTCTTAGTTGATAACTGTAACAGGTTATCAACATATCGATATACTGTAAAAATAAAATAATAATATAATTTTTTTCTGATATATTTTAAACTGGATAAGGACAAGTTTAATGTGTCACTATTATTTGCATAGATTATCAAAGAACTACAGTTAATAGCAATAGTATTTTAGAATATCGCAGAAATCGTGAAATCAGGTTGTAAACACAGAAAGGGTTGCGGAATTCTCGCATAATGCAATTTTTTGTCAGTTGACCTTTGTCTAATAAAAACACAAAAATATATAATGTGAGAGCAAAATTTTACAGACTAAACGAAATCTGTAAATTTTCAGATGTAGTTAAAATTTAGTAAGAAATTGCCACTTTTATCTCAAGTCGCTCTTAATTACAACTGGTTACCTATTTCTTCATATAGTGTAGAGTGAAGCTTTTCTAAATACAATATAATTCTAGATTGCAATTGTATTTTAATGGTAAAATTGGTAAATAAATCCTTATTATTTTACAATAAAAAATTATAATTGCAGAATATGCATGGAATTTTTGCAGAATTTGGTTTTGTCATAGACAGAATTAGTAATTTTTTACCACAGAAAATCATCATCCTGCCCTGGTATAACTAGGTAAATGCACACATTGTATGTCCAGAGCTAATATTTAATATTTATTTATTTATTAATATATACTGTAATATAAAATAAGCTATATTGATATAATGGGATTTGATTGTCGATCACTGTGACATGATTGGTCATATATCGCATTATGTAGCCAGATATTCTGATATTTTTTTCACTTTGTGTAGACATATAGTGTCCTTTGCTATGCTCTGGACAAATTATACATAGCAACCGCATAAAAAATCTGCGAATACGTGATTTTAACCCAATCACAACACAGGATCAGGTGTAACGTGAAAACAAAACAAACTGTCAGCTTTTTTCTGTAACTCAAAATTTTGATTACAAAACCACTTTCTGCGTCTTAACAAAAAAAATTCCTTGCAAAATTTTGCTATATGCAAGGCCCCTTCCATTATCATCCTATTGCTCACCCTTACCTAACATCAAAAGTTGATTTTTAATCGAGAAAAATATATAATCAGGAAAAGGATAAACTATCTATACCCCCGGTACAAGTTAAGTTTTCTCATTCTGGACACCCTAGTCAGATGAGCTACAATTATCACATAATGATCATTAAATAAAGTGTCTGATCTGCATCTTGTATTTTTTGTTTTGATTTAATGTTGATACTAAAAATTTATATCTACTACCACATTTTCAGTTTTTCTTTGTTTCTTGACACTTTTTTTCTATCGTAGTATATATAAAATGCTAAGTAAAGATGAAGTTCAAAAGTTGATTGATGATTTTTCTAACCTTAAAGTGAAGATGCTCGGTGAAATTTCTTTAATTAACTTTTTGAACTTTTGCAAGTTTAAACTTGCCAATAAAGGAAGGCAATTAGTATACAAAGATAAAC